TGTCAGTTGTTGAGGTAAGGAAAGTTCAAGGTGTTAGGAAGTTCCTAAGATGAAAAAAAAAGCAAAAAAATCCCGATGGAGACAAACAATGCAATGGTTTTGTCGCGGACACTGTATTGACCTTGTTCCCAATAATTGGTACTACGACACCACGGCGTGTATGTCCGTGATGTTACATACATGTACAATTTTGTCTGTGCTAAATTGTAACCAAACAACATAAACGATTTATAAACTAAGGACAGGAATTATACTTTACTGCATTAAGTGATTATAAAAATATTTGTTGGGGATGAAATTTGAAAATAGACTTGGAGATGAGTACAGATGCGAGAAACAAAGACTAATCGTAGGAAAAAGTAACTTTATTGTCGGTTATTTCATGTGCCATTGTCTATTAAATGTAGCTTACTAAGTGTCAATATTCTTGAGATCTTACAATGAACATGCATATCACATACATGGTATATTTTAGTGTAAAGATGTCCATCTTTACATGTGATATAATTTTAAACACATTAGCACGTAATATGAAGCCTTAGATTGATTTCCTCAATTCATTGAATTATTTTCGCGGCTTCTATAAACGACTGTGTTTTCAACAAATGGCTAATAATTGCCAAACACATGTTTACCTGCACATTTGTCCAGTAAAGATTGTGTTTCTCTAAAATGTTTGATGGTTGTTAAAAAAAAAGTATTTACAAGTTTCTTTTCATGATAGTTGTTCGTCAAACAAAGAACACGAATTTTTACACAACATGAACTTAGTAAATCAGATGTGAAATCATTACTCTTGAAGGGTACATACATTTCCTTTTTTTATTATAAAGTATAACAGTATCTACTCGTAACAGGAACCGTTACACCATAAGGTGTCGATACCAGCCCAGCAGTCGCAAGCGATGCATCAGAAAATGATCGCAATGCCAAACTGATAGGGTTGTCAATCCTGTCTTATTTTTGTAACCGGTTACTCGAACAATCTACCGATCGAGTAGCCAATAATCAAGTAAGATTAATATTGCATAAGGAACTTTGGCAACGATTTTTTTACATTTTGTAAAAAGAAGCGAAACCTGTAATATGATTAAATAAATACCGAATCATTCATCAACGCGCGTTCAGAGGTGTCCCGTTATCTAAATATGGGCAATCAAAGGTGACCGCTCCTTACTGGCAAGCATTCTTTTGAGCTTACAGGTCACGTGATACTTGTGACGTCAGAGTGGGACGTAAGGGTTACTGGTCCATACAGCAGTAGCTAGGGTTCAGGAGCTACACACCACCTATATATTTCTGATTTGTTTCAATGTTTCTGACAGTGTGATTCTTGGCATGAGCTACAAACGTAATACAATTCTCTACCAATTTAGAGACAGAAGGAGGACAAATCACTGTTCACGTAAATATTTACATCGGAGGACGATTCTATTATTGTTATTACTATTATCAATGCTTAACGGCCAATTAACACAGAATAGGTCATTAGGGCCAACAAATGGTCGACAAAAACAAATGCTTAATAAAAATTTCAAACCAAATTTTGGTTGACCTTTGTCCATGAAAGGTTTCTGCAAAATTTCATTGAAATTAGTTCAGGGGTTTTGGAGAAGAAGTTGAAAATGTAAATCGTTTACGGACGCACGACGGACGACGCACGACGACGGACACAAGGCGATCGCAATAGGTCTCCTGAGAAATTTCATGTGACCTAAAAAGAGATAACGAATAGATGACATGGACTTTGTGATATATATAACGTCAAAGAGGGTAAGGTTGGTTTAAAGGCATCAGAGTCTATAGAATAGACCGATGTCTTTCAAATACAATGTAGTTAAATAATGCCTTCGAGTCCACGGAACTGAAAAGAGTTTTCATATTCGGGACTCGAAAGTTATCACGAATGTGTTTAAAACCAGTTTGGAATATATATCTATTTCGATGTTGTATTTACAGTGGAACATTTTTAAATAAAATGTTCCACTGTAAATGGAGTGTCACATGCGTGGCATGAAGGTGGATTTTAGAAGGTAAAAGGTACGAATGAGTAGGATATGTGTGTCCAGTACGGAGCCGAGAGAGTACAACTAATAGTTATATCTATGGTTTCTTGAATTGGGATATTCAATAGCAATTACTACATCTTCACCATTTCTGAAACGTTGTTTTGTTTACATTCTATTTTTGCTATTTATTCAAATAGATCTTTTTCTTGAATATTCAAAACAACCTTAATAAGTGATGATACTTAATTACATGACGTGTATGTATCAAATGTTTTTCATGAACAAAAAGGTAAATGTTGTTTATTTCGAGATTCTCTTTATTTTTTTTTAAATTATTTGTCATGCTATCTTTATTTACAACAACACGACCCCTTTCGGAGTAATGATCTTTGTTCATCGTTTGGTATCAGATGTTTCCAATATAAATTGGACAAAATAGAAATAGGAGTGTCAACATATATTCTGTTTATAACTTTAGCATCGAAACTTTGTACTTATTCGTTTTTTCTAAACTTTTGTTCAAAATTAACTACCAGCGTACATCGCATAATCAGTTGGAAACAATTATAACAGGTTGTACGCTAATTCTGAAAAATGTGTCGGTTATTCATTTTTCGATTGTGCACTGCAGTTTGCGATAGCAATAGCATATGTGTAGGTAAGGCTTTCAATCTGAGCTATCTTATTGGTTCACTGACAGGTGCGTACATTCCGCAAACAAACACACACACACACATATATATATTATGTATCTTTAATACGGCATGAATTGTTAACAAATGCGTCGGCTCGTTTAAGGAATATACAAGTAGTATACAGGTAGGTAGCTGTATTTTAGTTAAAGGTACACACAATATAAATTGTATATAATTTATCGTCGTAATGTTTAACGTTAAAGTAAGAAAGCTTTAAACCACGATGAAATGTGTTTTCTCCCAAAAACTTATACACGAACTTTCCACATTTTCTAACACTATTGTACATGTTTCTTAACGTGATATTTTACCAACTCATATATCGTATATGCATTACAAGAGTTTAGATTTTAATTAAGACGAACATAAATAATAACAACTAATCACTTGTATATTCTTCAACGTTACGGCGTACAGTGGTGTTCTTAAAAATTACACGCTATTGTATACTATTGTTTATTTATGATGTTTGTTGTGACATGTGATGTATTGCACTAATTAAAATCATATTTAAACAAAAAAGGAAATATAGTTCATTTATCCAAATAAATTCCTGCATACATAGGAAACCGTAGATTCCAGTGTATCGGTAATGATCGAAGAATTGAGTTTTATTGTAAGTGTTATTGCACGAAAACATGATGAAAAACTTTTGGGAAATTGCTTTAAAACAACATCGAATTAGATTAGAAAATCCGAGACAGTTTATAAAAATCAGATATTCACCAAGCAGTTCAAACTATTCCGGTGACCCCTAACAATCCCGAATAATCAGCAGAAGCCATCTGCCAGAACCTTTTTACCAGTTATTAATATACTTGGTGGTTTGATGTATCCATTCTACTATCAATTTTCGTGACTAAAGGTAATTGAGGGTATAACAGGCATATTCACATTTACTTAATTTAAGCATTATTTTCTTACATTGTTGTCATGGTAACAAATTAAAGAAGAATCAGAAATCTGTATTAACCACTACTATTTCAAATATAGTGATTTCCATGGTAGATATCGACTGGTAAAAACACCGAGTTTCCAAAGATTCTGGTTGATTAAGAATATAAGCAATGCCTATGGTCGTTATCCGTTTATTGGTTTATCGATTTCAACACAGAAGACGTCTTTGAGGCCAATAAAAGGTAGATAAAACACGTAAAAAGTTAATAAAACACGTAAAAAGGTAGATAAAACACGTAAAAAGGTAGATAAAACACGTGAAAATGTAGATAAAGACGTAAAAGGTAGATAAAACACGTAAAAGGTAGATAAAACACGCAAAAAGATAGATAAAACACGTAAAAAGGTAGATAGATAAAACACGTAAAAAGGTAGATAAAACACGCAAAAAGGTAGATAAAACACGTGGAAAGGTAGATAAAACACGTGGAAAGGTGGACAAAACACGTAAAAGATAGACAAAACACGTAAAGGTAGATAAAACACGTAAAAAGTAGATAAAACACATAAAAAGGTAGATAAAACACGCAAAAAGGTGTTTAAAACACGTAAAAAGGTAGATAAAACACGTAAAAGGTAGATAAAACACGTAAAAAGGTAGATAAAACACGTAAAAAGATAGATAAAACACGTAATAGGTAGATAAAACACGTAAAAGGTAGATAAAACACGTAAAAGGTAGATAAAACACGTAAAGAGGTAGATAAAACACGTGGAAAGGTGGACAAAACACGTAAAAGATAGATAAAACACGTAATAGGTAGATAAAACACGTGGAAAGGTGGACAAAACACGTAAAAGGTAAATAAAACACGTAAAAGGAAGTGGCATCAAACAAATTAAAAGATAAAAAGACAAATGTCAACTTGAAAAGCAATGGTGGCTATGGTAAGTTATGTCTTTTTGAACAGACCAACAGTTTTCATTTAGGTTAGAATTGTTATGATAATTACCGTTATGATATATTGGAGATTTGTTAAAATTCCATTAAATTTTTCTCTAAAATTTGTTTAAAAGGTTTAAAATCAGAACAAGGCAGTTTATTATTTCTTTGGTTTTAGGTTAAGGGCTGCTTAAGCAGCTTTATCTACCAATTCATTTTCGTTTATTCCGACATGACCTTGTAGGACTCACACAACTAAATCAGCCAATCAGCAAGTGTTTCATACGTTTGTAGTCCCTATCTAAAATTAGTTCCGGCTAGTTACTGGGCCACTGAGGGAGTTTAATAAGGAACCGATGACAGATTTTTAGATAAATGAAATGTTCAGGTATTTAACTTTTGAAAAATGTATACTTTTGATATATTTCCATGTCTGTGTGCGGATTTGCACAGGGGCAAAATGTATGGGGGCGTTTCTGTTTTGGGTCACCGGTAATGCTTGTAAACTTCCGGTTGTCAACTTCTGGACGCTGTGACACTCTAAGATGCCACTAAACCTATCAAACAAGTCGTTTTGTAACCTTTGCAAGGTATGTATTTATGAATCTAGACAGTTGTCACTGGTGTTGAACTTCAAATATTAAAGTTATTAGCTAAAATGTTTGGTAATAACATATAGTAAATGATTTAGTTGTGTGAGTCCTTGTACCAGGTGGCAAAACAATATAATTCAGTTAATACGATCTTTTGTATGAGAATGTTGTTCAAATTCCGATTTTTAAAACTTTATAATAGTGACAAAGAGTCAGAACAAATTATTGCTTTGCTAATTTTATTATTTTCAATTTCATCCAAAGCCAAACTAACGGGAAGAATGTTATTTCTAGATAGTGTGTGATATACAAGGTCGATGCTTGGTTATGCTTATAAGTGTCCCTTGTTTTGTCGTCACTACCCCATGTATGACTTTGAGAGTATGATATCACAACATTTGATCTAGATTTACATAGCGGGTGTATTCGATCAAGCAAATGATGCTTACGTTGTAATACACTTGTATGTGTGTGTAAGTGTGACTGAGGTGTGTGAGATGTTGCCTTCATGAGTTACTTCCCCTTAGCCTTGTGTTAATATGAATTATTTTGTGTCAATTTTTTCATTTGCAACATGTCTAAAATATTATGTCATTTGACGGAGAGAATTTATAAAGGCTTTGCCTGTTATTCAATCCAATTGACTATGACATCTTGTCAATAAAATTTGATGAAATGAAATGAAATGAAACCCTACCAATAGCACAATAACACATTACCTTACTATTTAGTACATATCTGTATGTCTAACGTGATCTCTGTAGGAAGAGACACGAGAAAGATAAGTGTTTCAATCGCAATTCCTTGAGTTAACGTTCCGAGCAACGCACAAGTGAATAACTGTAGGAAAAACATATAAACGGTTTGTACTTAAATAACTGGAGAATTCTGGGGGAACCAATATATTTCATGCAATCACAGAACAATACCTATTGTTTGTTTCTGTTTGGTATATTTATGACGAGCATTTTATATAGCTGTATACTGATTCTATTTTTCTGTGAACTTTCAACGTGCTGTAGTCTACTAGCACAAAACTGTTATCATGATTCACATTTATTAACGTCCGTTTAAATGTTAAGATTTATTTGTTTCAGAAGTTAACATGAACACAAACGAATTCGGTGACGAGGTGGTAGTCAACCATAAGATTAAACACATATACACGCCTGGACGGACCAAGGAAGAGGTCAGAGATAGCTACAACAGCTGGGCGGATACGTACGAAAGTGTAGGTCTTCGTGCTACCGTGGGCGGATACGTACGAAAGTGTAGGTCTTCGTGCTACCTCGGTTATCTGCATTGTCAGATATTATCACGTGCACCACACCAGAAATACACGTGCAGTATTACGAACGATAGTTAGTAATAAGTGACCGTTTGGTTTTGAGTTTCAAATTGATACAACTGCCAGTTAGTATCCAAAAGTTCAAATATACTTATAAAATCTGTGCACGTACTTATTTTATTAGCAGATACTGTGCACGTACTTATTTTATTAGCAGATACTGTGCACGTGCTTATTTTATTAGCAGATACTGTGTACGTACTTATTTTATTAGCAGATACTGTGCCCGTACTTATTTTATTAGCAGATACTGTGCACGTGCTTATTTTATTAGCAGATACTGTCCACGTACTTATTATATTAGCAGATACTGTGCACGTACTTGTTTTATTAGCAGATACTGTGCACGAACTTATTTTATCAGCAGAAACTGTGCACGTACTTATTTTATTAGCAGATACTGTGCACTACTTATTTTACACATTCATGCATATGACCCTATCATACGTCAATGAACTCTGATCCAAACAATCGAACTACGGAGCAGTAATCCATTTAAATTATTTTAATTTTGTTAGTCGGAAAGGACGATTCCCGTGAGATGAACAATTTTAGCGAAAAAAAGGACAGTATGAGAATACCTGACCTGTCGTTGTTTCGAAGCAGCTAAACCTTAAAAAGATGGTAAAAAACAACGAACGCAATACAGTCGACGTCTCGAAAGTCTCCAGTCGACATGAAAATGAGTAATATTTTGTAAGCGATATATAATTTTTGTGGCTATTTTCTCTATTGCATTCCAGCCAATTAATGTTCCAAGTAATGTTGTCGTAAGCTCATTTAAGATATTTCTCACGCTCCTCTTGGTTACTTTGAATGTCAGAAACATATAAATGTGTCCTGTTTGTATCTGAACTGTAATTGTTGGTGCCCTTATGACGCATGTCGTGTCCGTTGACCTCGTCGGATGCATTGTTAGTCGTTTTTGTTCCTTTTTATGTTGCTGGTGTGGTAGTCTGGGATTACGATGGGAAACACAACATATTAGTAAAATAACTGACTTCCGGTCCGATATTCTATGGCAGTTAACGCGGTTTTGATTTTGATTCGGTGTCTGCTCATCCCTGTTATCGTTTTATCCTATCCACACTTAATTTTGTTCTTTTCTCCCCCAGTCCTCTCTTGTGCGTATAGGCTTATATAGGTATATATTTTTTATCTTTTATTCACAGGTGGGTACATTATCTTGTCAATGAGAGAAGAATACTTGAGAGATCCAGAATATGACGGTGTATTGGAAGTCTTGATTGAAAGTATGGAGGAAAAAGGAAAATGGATTATAATAAAGAAAAGCGTGATTCCTGATTATTACGTAGAAAAAGAGGGAATTGTGTTTGTGTTTAAGAAAACGTAACTTGTACATGGAAACTTTTCCTTATTTTGTTTGATATGTAACTATATGATAAAAGTGTAAACTTTAAAACAATTTGTTGATATTGAGCAGTCTCATTTGGTTGGGAAGATCACTTATGACAAACGAAAAAACTACAAAATAAAAACAAATTCAACTTGCCATCAAAGTAATTCTTTTTTGATCAGGAACTGGAAAGCTACAACGACCGTCAGCTTTTATTTGGTTTGGTTTTATTTTGTTTAACGTCCTATTAACAGCTAATATCGTTTAAGGACGTGTCTCCATCTGTGGTATGTATGTGTGCATGTGTGTATGTGTGCTGGAAACATGGTATGTTGGAGTAATGGCCTTCTTGTAATAGCGCGATCTTTATAGTGCAATCTGACTGAAATACTATGCCGAAGGCACCCAGCGCAGCATTTCGCCCGGTTACATTATTTTTTCTAACCATCCTAAAACAACAAGTAACCACTCTGCTTGGCTAATACATTTTATTGCAAGAACACAGCTGGGTCAAGGGGACGTAACCCTTTAACCCAGTAAATAACAACAGAAAAGTACAGGAAATAATCCCCTAGAACATTGGAATAATAAATGATGATACAACATTAGACACATACATGTGCAATGCATAATTATAAACCACCAATTCAATAATGCTACTGGGAGAGGTGGGAGGGAAACAGATGAATTGCCATTGATCAGGCTTGCTAACACGCCATGTACTAAATGCATAAACTGTGACGTCACCACAAAGTGTGTAGCACCAAAACTGCAGTCACCACTAGGGGTGTACTTAATAAGTAACAAAACCAAACAGTGCACCAGTTCCGGATTCCGACAAACCTGGTATTCACTTAATACCACATTTTGTCTAACCATCCTATACATCAAGTAACCACTCTGTTGACTTAATAAACTTTATTACAAGAACACAGCTGGGTCAAGGGGACATAACCCTTTAACCTAGTAAATAACAACAGAAAAGTACAGGCAATAATCCCCAGCCCAACAAGTAGGTTACTGGTTTAGGAATGAAGCATGGTTGAAAGAAAATTAAACGGAATCTCTGGAAGTTACGTACAAATCTACAATTGAGAACAAAAGTGCTGCAACACTGCAAACTTATTGAACACATCGATTTCTGTGTAGCGAAGACAGGCATCACTCTTTCACATACCAAGTTCTTTAATCATAATTTCTGGCATTCCTACTGACATACACCAAGTGGCACCACCCCTACGGAATGAGTGGCCTGTGATCAGCGTAGGGATCTGCTGATAATGAATGATGCTATTTACTCTGCTAATAAACATTTAGTAGGTCAAATAACACAAAAATGGGTAACTGGCCTCAGCGCCAACTGAAACATGCCACTGCAATAATGCCTTCACTGCGGTGCTTGGACACAACATATCACCTATAATAGTAGGCATGACAATATATAATTGCTTCTCCCGGAGTTGGACAGTTTTTGTCCACAACAACTCTATAATATACCCCTGTCTGTGGTATAACACATCACTTACACAAATATCTCGGTGCTGTACATATTCCCCATAATGAAGGAAGTTCCCTGAGCGTAATAAACCGAAAAATCCCATGAGACATGCTACCCATATACACAGATCTACTTGGTCTTCCATATAGAGGCCCATCCTAATTGCCCTTAACAACTCTTGCGTTATTACAGGTGCCCTCGTTTGGGCATCACCAACGGTTCTCTTAACACCATTCAAAACGTTTTTGACGAGCCAGTTGTTTGATACAGGATCAGTATAGCCCTTTGCTTTATGAATATGTTTGATAATATTCAAGTAATTCAATTTCAATTTCAACAAATTTTATTGACAATATAAGCAATAGTCAATAGGATCAGACATCAGGCATAGCCTATCTAAGTCCTCTTCTTAAAGTGACAACAGGTGGTAAGAAACACAAACATATATTTGTACATTGATATGATGTTTGGGATAAGGGTAAGTAACTCCTTGATGTAAACAGACTTTTTCAGTATTCTTGAGATATAGTAACCCTTTCACTAGGGATATTTAATTTGAGATATTTGATAGACTATTAACTTCAGTGAATAATATCAAGTATTAGACAATGAGTTACTGGTATTCATATAAGGTAAACTGTTGAGGAGAAATATTTGGTGATATTGGATTTATTCCCCCAACAGATACAGGCCATACAGTCCATATGTATAACACACTAGCCATCACACACTGTTAAGGATCAAAAGCCAATTTCAGCAAATAGATATATAATTTGTAAGTAGGGCTACACCAACTCCTGCAAGTAATATAGTAATTCTTTAATTAATTTGAAAGGAGTTACTTCATATCTTGATGTAAGCTAAAAGAAGAAGAAAAAAAAATTAAAAAAAATTGGGGTATAACGCTTTTATACATATGACTTGAAAAAACCCCCAAAAAACAACAACAAATATATATATAAAAATGTAAGAATGTATAATTATGTTCCAAAAAATAGTAAGGGTAAGTCAAATATTATATTAATGAAAATCTTTTTGATTTCGATATAAAGTTTGATACATGAGATAAGATATCTCTATTTGGTATATCATTACAACTATTATAATCTTTTAATAGGACATTTATACACAGATAATTGTGAGTGTAATGATTCAAACTCTGTTGGAGAGTCTGACGAATATTATTATATTGATTACATTCAGAAAAATAATGTGCAGCAGTTTCGAAAGATCCGTTACACTCACACATTGGAGATTCCATTAAGTGATCTTTATAACGATCTTAATTTAGATTACTAGCATTATTTCTTAATTGGCAAAGTATAATGTTAACATCACGAGTGCCAAAGTATTTAAAAACATCACTTGTTTCAGATATATACTTGGTTCATATATTGCTTTGTAGTTAGTAACCTTTAAAACTGTGCGGTAGATTGGATGTTAGTAATATCTGGGGCAAGTCTATTCATTTCATTTAGCATGGACGGAAAAAAACTTTCAAAATAGTTTACAGTACGACAAAAAGGGGGATCCAATAATCTGTTTGTTCGGAGGGGATATCTGTCAAGGGTTTCATCATGAATATATGGTTGAATAATTTCTCTTAGGTAATCTGGGGTTTCATTATTCATTATTCTATACATTAAAATTAGTTTATGTTTATTTCTTCTGCAGCTCAAAGTTTCCCATCCTAATTCCTTGTATAATTTATCATGTGATGTCCCTCTACGTAAACCTGTAATTAATCTTGCAGCCTCTAATTGTATTGATTCTAAGAGTTTTTTTGAGCTAGTGTACAATTGTCCCACACAACATCTGCATATTCAAGTAATTCACAATAGTACGGTATTTAAACTTTTTGTGATCTATCAGATAGGCTATATACAAGCACATATTGTCAGGTGTTGTTGGAGCTACTGCCAGTCCACTTAGCTCACAAAATGTCTCATAGCACTGAAGTTGTACACCATAAGTCCGCACAGTTCCATCCGCCCAACCACGCTCCTGGTACTTGACCACACTTTTAGCCAGGGTTGACCGCAGCTCTGCCCCACCTAGAATGTATAAATAACCATGACATATGGCTACTCAGTTCATTCATGGTTAAAGGAATCTGTCCAGCACTATATACAGGATGTTATGACCCCAATGTTGTTAACATCTGTGGTGTATGTAGGCGATATGGTATCAGCTAATATATTGTTCCTCCCTTCCACATACACTGCCTTTACCGACAAATTATGGGTGGCTTCCATCCAAAACAATTGCCTCAGTAGGCTCATTACATATGGGTATTTACAAGTACCTTTATTGATTATAGAGTTGGCAGTCATATTGTCTGTAAACACAATCACGTGGTTATTTTGTAAGTCCCGGTGCCACCTATACAAGGCTAAAATCAGCATCACAGTCGCTTTAATGTTAATATGCTGATCTGCCACGCTGGGTAGATCAATAGGCCAATTAATATACATATAGTCTCCATCATAATAGGCCCCACCAACGGTAGTACAGGCGTCGGACATTAGACTTGTAATCGGTTTACTGTCTATAAAATGCACATTTCCATCAAACACATTTGTAAAAGAAATCCACTAATCTAAATCCTCGAAAACGTCTGTAGATAGTAAAACGTTGTGGTTACTGCCAGTAATTCCATGTCTCAAGTCCAATATACGCCGTAAAAAAGTACGCCTACCTTTGATTACCTGGCAGCCCCAATTAAGCTTTCCTATTAGTGACTCTAGCTGGGCTCTACTAGCCCTATGTCGACCTCTGACATCACACAATAGTTTAAAAAAATCTGCAAGTTTCTCATTTGGCAAACTTAATGTCAGCTTTGCTGTGTCAATCAACACTACTACAAAAACAAGACGTCGAGATGGACCTTCTAGCTTTGAAAAATTAATGTAAAACCCAGTCTGCGTAACAACTGTTAAAGGCGGAACAATGCCTTGGTACATTGATCATAGCTTTGTTCAATAATGAGGAAACCATCTAGGTAGGAAATAACACAAAAATTGTACCTTACTTTCTACACACAGCGCTACTTAACCGCTGGAAAATACTTGGACTCTTTGCAGCCGGGAAAGGGAGCTTGGTATCACAAAAAAATGGTCTTCTGTTGCACCTTTAAACCGCTAATGCAGTCCTGTATATTCATAATCTTCAGGGTGAACTTTCCCTGATCGATATGCCTTAGATAAATCAACTTTAGCTAGAAAATCACCTGGCTTAATAATATTACAGGCTTCACGAAGATCCATGTACTTACACGAGCTACTTACAACATATGAATTAAGACTATCTCCTGTAGGTTGACTAGAATCATGGATTAATCTCACAATGCCATCACTCTTGGGCGCCGCTTCTAATGCGCTAACTAATTTCGGCGGTGTATCACATTTAACATAGTTACCATGAATACATTCAATATCTAATTGTTTCTCAACTGCCTCTCTATTCTCAAAAGCTGACTTATAATTGGCACAAATAATATTCTTATTAACATTCCCCCCGGGTAATGTGTCCATAATTTTGAAACCCTGCTGCACCCCTTGGATAATATAATCATAGTCACTCTCCGTTTGAGGGAGCAACTCTAACCAAGTTTCCACATTTAAACAGCCTGTTGGAGGTTGTCCTTTTGCCGAGTCTGACGATCCCGATCGCGGGCATTCCTGCTCTGGCCGTTTGGACGTCCTCCTGGAGAGACGTTAAATCCGGAATGCTGTTTCGCATTATGATTTTTTGAGTAACACAACGCGCAATGATGTGCCATACGACAGTCCATACGTGCGCACTCACCAGTGTTAAACCGACGACGAATAGTACGACCGTCAGGTAGGAGAGGACCTTTCCCTTTCTCTGCTGAGTACCCTGGCCGTGCTCCACTACTAGTGTCCCTTATCTCGGTCATTGCTGTTACAGAGTCGGGTTTTTGGATCAAATTGTACTCGCGCAGATTTGGTAAAAATGACACCCTTCGAAATTCTCCTGAACTTGGAGATCAAGATATTCCATATCATACAATAACACACTGTGCCATACATTGTTTGCCTCGAGACGAAATACTGACTGTGAGTAGGACAAATAGTCTGCATGAGCATCCTGTGTAATGTCACCTGACTTTATCATATCTTGGAGAATTTGTATACTCGCGTAGCCGTACTGTTCTATAGTTACATCCCCAAATGTCATTTTCTTTTCACTTCCCAATTGTTACTTGGTCTCGTTTCCATGTTCATAAGTGTTCTGAGTTTCAATCAACGATAGGGGATTGAGCGACACAAAGTCAACATTTTTTCTGGCCTTTTTCTTACCACGTACCGTGGCCGGAGCTTGTGGAGGTGTAAATGGATCCGGAGGGGGAGCAACGTCCCCCGCGCGGGGGCACAAGGGCGTTGACTAGTGTCTCGGTCTTATTCTCGCCCGCTCAAAGCTTGTTCTAACGCTTCATACTTTGATTCAAGTTCCTTTATCTTCCTTTGGATGAGGTCAGAACCGCTAGGCGATAGGATTGTAGATTTCTGCATCACGTGTGCGTCCCCTTCGTGCTGCATCCTGATTGTTTCTTCAGTCACTGGACCCGATTCTGAAGTGTCCGTGTCGTCTCTAGCATGCACTGACGACAGTATTTGCGACAGCCTATTTCCTGCAGTTGTCCTTGTGGTCTCCGCATCTCAGCAAAAAAGATAAATTGCCATTGGTCAGGCTTGCTAACGCGCCATGTGCTCAATGCATAAACTGTGACGTCACAACAAAGTGTGTAGCACCAAATCTGCAGTCATCACTAGGGGTCCCAAAAATTGCAATGGATGCAGCAGATTTTTTTAGTCGCCTTCGTGTCCCCTTGTAGAGAGTACAAACGCAAACCCTCATCTCTGAAGGGGGTTTCCCATTAGTCGTCTCCTTCGAAACATTCGTTGGGTAACAGGTTTATTCTTTCTCGATCCCCGATCTGCAGGGGTGGCCATCAGCTTTAAGTTATGACGTGACATTACATTCATAACTATTTCATTTTATATTAAATAGTTTCCTTTTTTATCTGCAAAATAAATGGGTTATTTTACTCAGGTTACCTCCCTTACTGGGAATTACATTTTGGGAGTACCCGGAGAAAACCCACGTGGTCGGGCAGGTGACCCCATACCTTTTCACGTCCGATCTGGGAATCGAACCCCGGCCGGTTAGGTGAAAGGCAAGTGCGTTATCCACTGCACCACCCGACCACCCTATATATATGTTCACAGATTGTGTGACTTTGAACAATTGATGCTTGTATAGAGTGGTGTGGCTCCACAAGTGGTGTTTGAATGTATGGAGTGGTGGGGCTCCACACGGGGTGTTTGACTTGTGTGTTACGATAATAAAACATTGATGGTGTCTGCCCGTGGCGACACTCCCAATTTCAAATATTATTAAACATAAAATATTTCAATTACAGCCGTGGCCACCAAATATGCCATAATTAAATAAATTTCAGAAATGTATGTGATGTGTATGTTACTTTTTCTGTAATAAATGACGTATAATGACAAGACATATTGTAAGGATGCAGAAAATTAAAAGAAGAAACAAACGTTAACGTCGACACTGTATTAGACATTCAAATGCATAGTGATCTACATTTACATGGTTGCTATGCACCTGATGGTCTCATACGGAGAAAACGATTTTGTGCAAAATTTGATTTCTTTTGTCAATATCTCATTTACATGTAAATGTATAGTTCAACAAATAAAAAATAAGGATAATGTATATTGTAGCGCCATAATGAGAGGGAGATAACTATCATTCAAAGAATCTATTCATTTTCGGTTTTGATATCTTCATAAAACCTTTGTCTTTCCCCCCTTTGAATATCATTTTCCGAAAGTATTTTCAAAACAAGAAATACAGGAAATTTCATTTCCCCAAAAAAGTCTACATAGCTACACCTAGATATAGGTTATGACTTCCTTAATGAAAGGGATAAGGGTCTCTATGTAAATCTTCCTTTTGTTCAACTGGTTCGCCCGTTGTCAGTATAATGAGACCCGGTGTGGTGTTCTGCTGGGTGTCTTCGGCAGTATGTTTCAATGAGATAGCACTATACGCATGCATCTTGCACACAGGGGAGGCCGTCCTTAAATGCCCATAGCTGTTGATAGGACGTTACACAATACTAAACCAAACTATTCCAAACCTTGATGTTATCCACTCACAAATTGATGCCTTGTTATAAGCGCTCATACATATCTCAAAATTATACAACGTGTCCGCAATAACCCGTTTCTAAACGACAGGCTGAGTGAGGTGTTTTGATGGGATGGGCAATACGCACGGGACTGTACTGTGCCCATATCACTCATTCTCAACGGCGCATTTGGACAGAGAGGTTGTTTCACTTTTCATATTACCCGGGTAAGTCTTTACTTGTATTGTAATACCTCACATACTTACAGTGTACATGAAAACTGTCAATTTAAAGAGTTAATAGTCAAGTGTATACTCATGATGTTTCAGCCAATTCCACTATGACTGGATATGTCTGTGTATTAAGCTCTGACGTTTAAAATAGAGATTAACAACAACGAAAGAAATGCTAGGGATAATCCATTTCTTTTACATATTTTCTTTCGGTAATCGGTTACAAGTTTCTTCGGTAAAAGGAATGATATTTTACTAAATGGAATTTTCTTAGAAATCATGGTACGTAGAATATATTTCATCCATGCCCAATTGTTATGCATCGAGTTTTACCGAATCAGAGCACGGAATCTCTTTACATCAAAAAACTATTTGTAAACACAAAATATCAGGACATATCGATTGACTAGAATATTTAACATCCGTTGTTTTCAGTATAGATTTGTACACATAATTATATACGCTTTTAACGATAGTAGCTACATGTAACAGAGGCCCGGTTAAGCATAGATAGGTCATAAACGTATTTCTATCAGGATCCTCATTCACAGATTCGCTTTGATGTGACAGAGTTGTTTTCTTAGAGGTAAGTAACGAGATCTATATCAGTACAACAGGTAAGCATTTGCCTAGATATATCACATGTGTACTCCTTTACGCCATTCTCTATGAAGTTGCCTTGATTTCAGAAGAGTTCACCAAAATTATGCTTGATGATTTTTAATGCACTTGTTGCAAACTTTGTCGATATGCCCTTTTGAGCAACCATATAAAGAATCCATTTTTTTTTTATTGTGCACTCTGTTCACTTTTAAACTCGCTTTGAATCAGTTACAACACGTTGGTGATTTTAAAGAAAGTTTCTATGGTTTGTTTGTCAGTTGTTTCTGTTTCGATTTCGGTATATTTGTAATTTATTTACCTTTCTCATAGATATTTAATTTATTTCCATGTGAATGAAAACGTTCTAATGACTGACTCCATTAATTTTCTGGTTTTAATCAAAATGAGGTTTTTAAAATATATTTTTCATATGTTATACTTGCCACTTATGTAAAGAATAGTGAATGTATCATCTCTTTTACTTGAAAACCTACCTTGAATGAATGATTTCTAATCGAAATCGCTTAACGCCCAATGATGTTATGTTTGACATAGCTTACCAACGCAACATAGTCTCATTATTCAATTTGGGATTTATTTTTTCAAGAACTCAATATGAACGCAACCGAATCCTGTGACAAGATGGGAGTGAACTGCAAGATTAAAGACGTATATACCCCTGGACGGACCAAGGAAGAGGTCATAGACAGCTACAACAATTGGGCGGATACATACGAACATGTAGGTCCACACGAGAGTAAACTGTTAACGTACATATAGCAGAGTTAATTTTGTTCTAAAGCTGAAAGCGATAATTTATGATAATCATTGATATGTCCTCGAAGTATTTACTGCAGTTACTCTGGCTACATTTTAATGGAATAGCTTTTGACAAAGACGGTTTTAAATCAAATTTGAACAGTTTAGATTTATAAGCACACCAATGGCTATTTTTTTCTTCTAGACGGGTGCTTATAAGCAATTCAGACGTACAGAAACGGTAAAGTTTCCAGATAGAAATGTTCTACAAATGTCATAGCGAAACGTATATCCTCAAACACTCATACAAATCTTTATTCGTAGGATCTCAATCCAGATAAATTTAGAGGTCCTGTATTGGCGGCCAACGAATGCTGTGCCGTTATACAAGAAAAGAACAGAACGAGTGCCTTGGTACTCGATGTGGCTGCTGGAACAGGATTCCTTGGCAAAGAGGTTATTACAATCATATGACGTAAAGTATGTTCATTTGAAAGGTTAAAGAAGTTTTGTTGTGTTCTTTCGTTTTTGAGTTGACACGGTCACACGATAGCCAACGTGTGTTTGTATATATTGTAGCTGCACCAAAAAGGCTTCAAAAATCTTCATGCATTGGATCCATCGACAGAAATGTTAGAGAAGGCCAGTGCTAAGAACGTCTATCAGAAGTTCATCATCAAGTTTATATCTGAGGAAGAGGAACTCCCAGTAAACGCTGGTACGTGCAAACCTATCCAGCACAAATGATAACAAGAGTGGTGTCATATATCGTAATCTGTGTATTCCCTCCATTGTAATGTTAGTTTCTGTGTATACCCTCCATTGTAATGTTAGCTTCTGTGTATACCCTCCATTACCATGTTAGTTTCTGTGTATTCCCTCCATTGTAATATTAGTTTCTGTGTTTTCCATCAATTACCATGTTAGTTTCTGTTTATACCCTCCATTACCACGTTAGTTTCTGTGTATTCCCTCCATTACCATGTTAGTTTCTGTGTATTCCCTCCACTGTAATGGTAGTTTCTGTGTATTCTCTCCATTACCACGTTAGTGTCTGTGTATACCCTCCATTGTAATGTTAGTTTCTGTGTATTCCATCAATTACCATGTTAGTTTCTGTGTATACCCTCCATTACCATGCTGATTTTTGTGTATTCCCTCCATTGCCATGTTAGTTTCCGTGTATACCCTCCATTACCATGTTAGTTTCTTTGCATTGCCTCCATTACTATGTTAGTTTCTGTGTATTCCCTCTAGTACCACGTTAGTTTCTGTGTATATCCTCTATTACCTTGTTAGTTTCTGTGAATTCCATCCGTTACCATGTTAGTTTCTGTGTATTCCCTCCATTGCCATGCTAATTTCTGTGTAATCACTCCAGTAGCCATGTTAGTTTCTGTGTACACCCTCCATTACTATGTTAGTTTCTGTGTATTCTCTCCATCACCATGTTAGTTTCTGTGTATACCTTCCATTACCATGTTAGTTTCTGTCTATTCCCTCCATTTACAAGTTACTGTCTGGGTATACACTCCATTACCTTGTTAGTTTCTCTGTATTCCCTCAAGTACCACGTTAGTTTCTGTGTGGTCCCTCCATTGCCATGTAAGTTTCTGTGTAATCCCTACGTTACCATGTTAGTTTCTCCGCATACCCTCCATAACCATGTTAGTTTCCGTGTATTCCCTCCATTACCATGTAAGTTTCTGTGTATTACCTCCATTACCATGTTAGTTTCAGTGTATACCCTCCATTACCTTGTTAGTTTCTGTGTATTCCCTCCATTACCATGTTAGTTTCTGTGTATTCCCTCTATTACCATGTAAGTTTCTGTGTATTCCCTCCAATACCATGTTAGTTTCAACTGCTCCATTCAAATGCAGATATTTAAGATTAATTAATATTTCAACCCCTGTAGGATATCAAAATAATTCGAATCAAAATTCATCAAATGTTATGAATGAGATTGTTTTCTTATATATGCTTCACATTACTCTGAATCATAAATCAGCTAGTTAGCATGCGATTCTTTTCTCCATACCAAAACTAACTAGCTTTTACCATCTTTCCTTGTTCTGTGATATTGTCATGCATCATTTCTTCATCAAAACTATTTTAAAGCATTTTTAAGACAGAGAGAGAGCACCCACTACTATTAGTTTATCGATATTCAGCCAATTTATATGGCTAAAACAAACAAAATGTTATTTTCATTAAATATTTAGACTATATAAAACACTTCAACTTTAATTATCTGTCTCACGAGTCCTTCCTCAAACATTTATCTGGATCTTCAACGATAACGTACAAAGAGCATGATAAGTAAATCCACAAGGCTATCCAAATTATTTTTCTAACTAGAGCCTCTCAGGCATGAACCAAGGGATAAACTTGTCTTGAACCAAGACAAATTTGCATCTTATTTCCAAAACCCCCCATCAATATTTGTTACTCTAAAATATTCAAGAAAGGGCAGAACATGCACCATTCATACTTAGTGGTATCAATCAATGTAGGTGCCTTGCAAAAGAGAAAGTTTTGCGTTGAACATTGCCATGGCAATATAGCATACTATGAATGAACTAATTAAAAAGAAACAAATTTATTAAACCATTAAAAGATAATATCTTTATAATACTAATAAAATAACCAACAATGAGACAAAAATATTATAACATTTGTAAAGAAGTAATTACACTTTTAAATGGCCAATACGTGGGTCCATTGTCCGTGGGCACCTTCATGTGACATTAACTAAGGCGAGACCCTAAACTCGAAACAAACAAATACTTTATGATTATTTGTATGTAAATTCTCTGTTGCACTTTTTGTATGAGTGTAAAAGGAATAAGTCACATTTTTTCGCAGATACCTATGACATTGTGGTATCATCTGGAGGAATGGGTCAAGGTCACATTCCGGCAGGAGCATTATTGGAAATGTTAAGAATCACCCGAAAAGGTAAACACTTTTTAACTCGTAATCATAATGATGTCTAGCCATTCCAAATCTCGACGTCTTAAGTATTTTAAAAAACTGCATGGTGTCATCATTTCAGTGAACATAAAAACATTCGTTTGTTTAAAATTTATTTAACTGTTAAATATCTACAGTTACCTTGCTTTATTGTGGATGCTGAGGACGACATTGTCACTATGAGTAGCCTATCATCTGGCATTTCACCTCAAGGTGACAGCAGACGTTTATCTAGGTCATTTCCTGTGCATGTTGTTAACATTTTCGATTTGATGTGCAGATTTAAAAATGAAAAAAATAATTCACACTCTACGTAGTTCACCTGATGAATTGCTTTGGTTTCTTTCACTTTCTGTTTTTCTATCGACTTTGAGTTGAAGAATTGTCTATTTGTTTGTGTATAAACAAGGCAGTCCGTATGTATCAAAAGTTATAACAATGCGTCACGTCCGAGGTCACGTGTTAAAAATTTAAACGACTTCTTCTAAATAACTTTTCAGATTTCTAAATCATATTATTTTGTAAATAGGAAATGAATGACTCCGTAATACGTCCAATGCTACATGTTAAAGAATACTTTCAATGACCTCTTATGTCTGCTGGGATACAGTTATTCTTAAATAAATCACCTTTACATATTTTGAAAGCCACATGAGTGAGTAAATTGTAAATATTCTGACAAAGTTCAGTAGGGTCTAAAATAATGATATTAGGCATGTAGTATTTGCTTGCTTTCTATCAATTTGTTTAAGAAATAATTTTGACCTTGTCCCGGTTGAAGTAATAATTATATGAAATTCACAAAGTAATTTGAGCATCGAGTACATTTGGTCTTCTTGTTCATGCTCTATCTTCTACAGTGCATACCATGCCGAGTATCTTTTAGTATATAACGACAGGTGGGTACATTTCATTTCAAATATATTTTATTGATTAAACAAAAGGATTGAGCATCATACTTTTGATAGTTGAAGACATTGAATACAATATTTACATACATACACTATATTTCAACTCATCTCATGACACTTGGGTACATTATTGCGAGGTAATATACAATAATTAGGCTGGATTTATATTTTCATGTTTCTACAAAATTACATTATTTCATGGATACATGGACTAAAGATAAAAAAAATAAAAAAAAATATATACAAACTTTGCGATATTGATATTTAATATAATTGTAAAATTTGTATCAAGACCAATTAATTATACCGTTATAGATGTACACAGTACTCAAAATCGAATTAAACATATGTATATACGTCTTGACCATGAGCCACTACAATTTTGCTACGGCATCATTGTATGCTGATAAAGAAATGTACCAGGACTTCTTTGAAGTAGATATGTCTTGAGGTGAGTTTGAAATTCAAATAGAAAATGAACTAAAAGAAAACATAACTAATTATATAAGAACACAAGAAAATCTCGAACACTCGCTCATACACTCTAACACCACATATGTTTCTACTGGCATGGGTTTGTTGGCTTATTTAATGTAGTTTATATTTGTTTTAAATTAATGTGCAGTTGGGCATTAAATATGATAACAGAGTACACTAGTTCAAAGGATACAAATATATTACATTTTGGTATTTTATAATGAATTATTAGTTTTTCAATAATTAAATAAATTATAACTATTGATTTACATTACTCCATCATACCTTAAATGTCATGACCACATACAGTCCCTGGACATTTGTTGCCCGGTGGTCAATCAACCTTGGCATATTACATATAAATATATATATATATTATCCACTATCTACAGAAATAATGAATGTATCTTACAGAATACAAACAATACATCAACCACAAACAGCTTGTATATTTAACTTAATTTAATCTATTTGAACCGTCCTGTAGCATTAATGAATTTATGCACACACTCAATCAATTGGTTGGTCTGTAAATCAGTATTATTAGTGTTACCATTTAGAATAGTGTTTAAAGATATTGTATTATGGAAATCTACATTATTTAAAATAAGATCCTGCATAAGAGTTTGTCGTTCATCTGTATAGACAGGACATTCAAAAACGAAATGGTAATAGTTTTCAATTGCGTGACTACAAGGACAGTTTGGACTATTTTTCAAGTGATCTCTAAACAGATCTTAATTGACACATTAATATATTAATTCGTGAACCAGAATATAAAAATACAGGTGTACATGATAAAATGCACTTAAGCTGTTATTTAGATAATCAACTGGGCCTGGGTTAGTTTGTATGTCATTGCAGAGGATCAACAGGAAAATCAGAACTTTAAAATAGAACATCAATTTTTTTTGGAGTGTGAAACATGTGTACGAATTGGATAATTGGTATAAAGAAAATCTCGTTATGTTTATACACACAAGCTGACATCTAGGGTTCAATCTTACGAAGAAAACTCATTGTCGGCTGCAAGATGACTGATGTTTTCTGCCTCACTAGCACATAGGTATTGTAAAACAAAATAGACCCATGCCGTTAGGTGAAGGTAATATATACAACACAATACACGCATGTACGACTCGACACACATACACTAAAAATAACAAACACACTTACATTCTTATTGTCTTCCTCACAGGTGGGTACATTATCTGGTCGATGCGGGAGGAATATCTGAGAGATCCGGAATACGACGGGGTACTAGAGGTCTTGATTAATAACATGGAGGAATCAGGGAAATGGAGTAAAATAAAGAAAAGTGTGATTCCTAATTATTATGAAGAAAAAGAAGGTGCATTGTTTGTGTTTAAGAAATTATAAATGTACATGACCTTCAAGTCATATTGGATATATGTAAAAAAAAAGGTCAATTTTACTCGATACTGACAATATTAAGCATTTAAATATGATGGAGAATGCATAATAAAAATGTATTGTTTATTAAATGTGCAGTTGGTGTACTTTTTGGCTCGCCTAGTCGGAGAATAGTATAGTCACCCCGGCTTCGCGTCCCACTTCACTGAGGTTAAAGTTTTTGGGCAAGTTTTTTCCATGCAGTGTTGGATATTATCATTTTCAGGAGTTTGCATGCGATTCTTTTCTTTGTTCAATTTTGCCCTGTTGTTATCAGTTTTGATTTCGAATTACTGTTTAAATGTAATTTCAGCATTCACTCTTGTTTACATGATGTATGGTACAACTGAGACTGGAATGAAATAAGGAAATGGTACACGACATTGGAGTGGTAAACATTCTGAAGGAACACTTGACCAGGCGGATGGTTTATGTGACATAAAGTGAAATGGCTTGCCTTAGATTTAGGTTTTAGAGATCAGTTAAGGATGCATGAATGTCATTGTGCTGTGGGTTTCATTTGTGGTAAAGAAAGACGAAAAGGGAGATATTTTTACAATGTCCTATTGTTTTTAGTATTTAATTAAAATTCAAGGGGCTGCATGCATCCAAAATTGTTGACAGATATACATGTCTGTTCCAGTTAATTGTCTACATACATTCTCGTGTTATTATTATTGAAAAGATAGACATGTTATAAACACGTCGACTTAAAGGAATTTTCAAAGATATACGGTCAGACAAAATAACTCGTTTAAACAATTTAGTGATGCCTGAATCCTTAAAATTTAAGCAATATAAATGTTTTAGCCATAAAGATTCATAGTTAGATCGTATTGAATTGTGTGGCACAAGATAAACTGCTCACAATCATGCATAGATCCGCAATTAATATAAAAAAATGAACAAAACCTACTTTAACGAAACGAATGTTTCTAAGAAAGGTCTGATGTGTACATAATCAGAACTGATATACATACACAAATAACACAGACATGTTGCCAAATGGTAGGGGCGTTCCAAAAAATTTACCGAGGGAAAAAACCAGATGAGATCAGTGAAGTGTTGACAAAATTGTGATCCGAATTCAAAATCAATTAATGTTGTGTTCGTACACACGTACCAAGTACTGGCCGTATCTGGGGTTTTTTTGTAGTTTTTTATTTGCCAAACTTTTCATGATATATGATAGAAATGATGATAATGATGATGATGATGATCATCATCATCATCGCAATAAGTACATATGTACCAATCCCCTGACCATGAACCTGTATAAACACCTTTCTATTTACAAAGTGTACAAAGCGTACTCTCCCTTGAGGCGTTGGGTCTCGCTCAATTTGCTACCAAATAACTACTGTTCAAAATACATTCCTTGCTTTTTGAATGTGTCTTTTACTCTACGTTGTTTGTGATAATTTCATTAACATTAGATTTGATATGTGTTCACATCTCAATCCTTTCTAATGCCTTAAATAATGTAAAGGCTACCATAATTAGACAGCCCAATCTCCTCCATCGCAAAGAGCTGCCTGTAACATCCGCCCACACCTCCAACAAACAATATGAATAGTAACAATGAGTTTAAAAAACTCCTCAAATGACTGGTCAACTTCATAACAAGGAGAAAAGTACAGGAACATACCTTGTCTTCAGCACACATATGCATATGCATGCTAACACAACACACATTTAGGCACGTCACGTCCTTAAATGACATTAGCTGTTAATAGGACGTTAAACATTGTATTATGAGAAGTTCTTTTTACACAACCAATACAATTTTCTATGTGACTTTTCGATGACTATTACGATATGTGCACTGTCACCTTCATCAAGCAAATGACCAATGAAGCGTAGCTGAATTTAGTCATTTCGGTACATAAATAACAACTACTGTACATACGTTTCTAGCGTAGCCGAAATCGACATCGATTTCATGGACAACTCGTACACATTTTACACCTTTGTGTGCATACGCTTCATTGGTCATTAAGGTGACAGTGTACATATCGTACTAGTCATCGAAACGTCACACAGAAAATGTTACTGGTTGTGTAAAAAGAACTTCTCATAATCCATACTTACCAACCTGAAGAAAATGGTTAGAAAGAGTTAAACATTGTACTTTATTCCTATCTAAAATAGCATTTAATGTTAAAATTACATAGGAGACTCCCCCTGCATAACTTTTATTTCAGAAGTGGTACGAGATTTATGCTGCTGTTAAAAAACATTTTTCAATCGCTTATACATCTGGTAATGGTAATGGAGTTTATACCCAGACAGTAACTTGTAAATGGAGGGAATACATAGAAACTAACATGAAAATGGAGGGTATACACAGAAACTAACATGGTGATGGAGGGAATACACATAAACTACATGGCAATGGAGGGATAACACAGAAACTAACATGGTAAAGGAGGCAATACACAGAAACTAACATTGTAATGGAGGGAATACACAGAAACTTACATGGTAATGGAGGGAGTACACAGAAACTTACATGTTAATGGAGGGAATACACAGAAACTAAAATGGTAAAGGAGGCAATACACAGAAACTAACATGGGAATGGAGGGAATACACAGAAACTTACATGGTAATAGAGGGAATACACAGAAACTTACATGTTAATGGAGGCAATACACAGAAACTTACATGTTAATGGAGGGAATACACAGAAACTAAAATGGTAAAGGAGGCAATACACAGAAACTAACATGGTAATGGAGGGTATACACAGAAACTAACATGGTGATGGAGGGAATACACATAAACTACATGGCAATGGAGGGATAACACAGAAACTAACATGGTCAAGGAGGCAATACACAGAAACTAACATGGTAATGGAGGGTATACACAGAAACTAACATGGTGATGGAGGGAATACACATAAACTACATGGCAATGGAGGGATAACACAAAAACTAACATGGTAAAGGAGGCAATACACAGAAACTAACATGGGAATGGAGGGAATACACAGAAACTTACATGGTAATGGAGGGAGTACACAGAAACTTACATGTTAATGGAGGGAATACACAGAAACTTACACGGTAATGCAGGGAATACACAGAAACTTACATGGCGATGGAGGGAATACACAGAAACTTACATGGTAATAGAGGGAATACACAGAAACTTACATGTTAATGCAGGGAATACACAGAAACTTACATGTTAATGGAGGGAATACACAGAAACTTACATGGTAATGGAGGGAGTACACAGAAACTTACATGTTAATGGAGGGAATTCACAGAAACTTACATGGCAATGGAGGGAATACACAGCAACTAACATGGTAAAGGAGGGAATACACAGAAAATTACATGTTATTGGAGGGAATACACAGAAACTAACATGGTAATGGAGGGAATACACAGAAACTTACATGTTAATGGAGGGAATTCACAGAAACTTACATGGTAATGGAGGGAATACACAGCAACTAACATGGTAAAGGAGGGAATACACAGAAACTTACATGTTAATGGAGGGAATACACAGAAACTAACATGGTAATGGAGGGAATAAACATAAACTAACATAGTGATTGAGGGGATACACAGAAACTAGCATAGTAATGGAGGGAATACTCAGAAACTTACATGGCAATGGAGGGAATACACAGAAACTAACATGGTAAAGGAGGGAATACACAGAAACTTACATGTTAATGGAGGGATTACACAGAAACTTACATGTTAATGGAGGGAATACACAGAAACTTACATGGTAATGGAGGGAGTACACAGAAACTTACATGGCAATGGAGGGAATACACAGAAACTAAAATGGTAATGGAGGGAATAAACATAAACTAACATAGTGATTGAGGGGATACACAGAAACTAGCATAGTAATGGAGGGAATACACAGAAACTTACATGGCAATGGAGGGAATACACAGAAACTAACATGGTAATGGAGGGAATACACAGAAACTAACATGGTAAAGGAGGGAATAAACATAAACTTACATAGTAATTGAGGGGATACAAAGAAACTAACATGAATCTGAGGTTATACACCGTTACTTTTATGATTCTGAGTGAATACACAGAATCTAACGTGGCAATGGAGGGAATACACAGACATTAGCATGGTAATGGAGGGAATACACAGAAACTAACATGGTAATGGAGGGTATACACAGAAACTAACATGGTTATTGAGGGTATACATAGAAACTAACATGGCAATGGAGGGATTACACAGAGACTAACATGGTAATGAAGGGAATACAAAGAAACTAACGTGGTACTTGAGGGAATACACAGAAACTAACAGAGTAATAGAGGGAATACACAGAAACTAACATGGTAATGTAGGGTATTCACAGAAACTAACATGGTAATGGAGGGTATACAAAGAAACTAACATAGTAATGGAGGGTATACACAGAAACTAACATGGCAATGGAGGGATTACACAGAAACTAAAATGGTAATTAAGGGAATACACAGAAACTAACGTGGTACTTTAGGGAATACACAGAAACTTACGTGGTACTGGAAAGAATACAAAGAAACTAACATGGTAATGGAGGGAATGCATGGAAACTAACATGGAATGAAGGGAAAACACTGAAAATAACGAGGTACTGGAGGGAATACACAGAATCTAACATGGTTAATGGAGGGAATATACAGAAACTAACATGGTAATTGGGGGAATACACAAAAACTAACATGGTAATAGAGGGAATACACAGAAACTAACATAGTAATTAAGGGTATACACAGAAACTAAAATAGTAATTAAAGGTATACACAGAAACTACCATGGTAATGGAGTTTATACCCAGACAGTAACTTGTAAATGGAGGGAATACATAGAAACTAACATTGAAATGGAGGGTATACACAGAAACTAACATGGTGATGGAGGGAATACACAGAAACTAACATGCAATGGAGGGATTACACAGAAACTAACATGGTAATGGATGGAATACACAGAAACTTACATGTTAATGGAGGGAATACAGAGAAACTAAACATGGTAAAGGAGGGAATACACAGAAACTAACATGGT